ATTTTGGGATAAAAAAACGTAAAATTAAAAAAGTTGGTATTTAAATCGCTTGGTTGCCTCGACTCACGTTTCATGCTTATCTTTTATTCGCTGTCCTTGTCTACGTTCGGCAAACTACAAAGGCGGGCGCGAGGCTCGAAAACGTTGTCGCTGACTCTAGGAGTGTCAGGTTTAGCTTCCTGCGGTCTGACACTTGGGGAGAATATAGTGTATTTTGAGAAAACTTTACTCTCGATATTGTAGAATTTTTTGAGAAAATTTTACTGTTGATATTGCAGAATATTTTGAGAAAATTTTACTCTCGATATTGCAGAATTTTTTGTCAGAAAATGTAAACGATAAATTACAGAATCTTTAACCCCTTCGTGACCAGTGAGATACATAAATAAATTCTGTTTTTCAAACGACAGAATCTCCATTGCTCATGTTATACGAGAAATTTCATTTCCTCGGAAGCATCTGATTTTGCCGGATTCACCGTGATCGTGTAAACTAACCGAAATAAAGCAACGTACACGTCGTATAAGTCGTCACAACTTCATTGTTTTTCGAGTTGAACCTGTATTCCCGGATACAGGAATGGTCTGCTTTGTTCCTTTTCGCAGAAATTCGGGGGAATTTGTTCTTTTTATAAAGAGGAAAGCACGTTGGTGGAGACGAGAAGAAAGAATTGATTCTTGCATGAGAAAAGTTTCGAGAGTTTGGTTTCGAGGATAAAAGAAACGGGCGGAAGTTGTCGAAGTTGGTGACGTTGATATCATTGGAGACTGTCTGAAGGTGTTCCTCCGAATAGACATTCTTTTTGTCCTCTTTTGAGGAACAAGATAGACGAAGTGTCTCGAAATAGGTTTTAACTAACATGTTATTTACTGAAGTAGCAAATATGTCGTTTTTTTGAAATATATTACAGATAAGTTTCGAAAAGAAAAGAGTAACTTTTTACTTCAAATATCATCTTGAAACTTATATTCGTTTCTTTTACTCTTTCCATTTTTTTTTTTATTATTTCATATAAAATTTTTCCTTTACTTCAGATGCAATTCCGACAAATTCTTCTTCTATATTTTGTGTATCTTATGTAAAATAAAAATTTGACTATAATTTATTACGATGTTTACGAATTCTTTCAACAATGAGACAATAATTTAGAAGATAGAGCTTCAATTTTTACGTGAAACAAAATACACGTTACTCTAATGAAAAATATTAAATGTAATAAGTATTATATTACTCTTTACTTCGTATTTACGTTGCAACTGCACGTGTCACGTTTTCATATTTGCACGAAAGCGTTTAGAAAACTGAGACGTTACACAATAATGGTATTTAATCGATGATATTCTCTTATCGTTGCAGAGGAGAAGCGCGGAGATAACGGTGGACAGCGGGGAACAGAATGCTGTGTTCGTTCGCATTTCCGGTGAGTGAAAATCGTGTTGCGTTAAAAATTTCGAAAAATTTTTCGTTTGTTAACTCGTTATTTTTTTTTTATTATACACAATCAATTCTAAAGGAAAATTCTAAGCAAGATTCTAACAAGAAGTATAATAAACAACGTAAATAAGTATTTGATCGCAAAAACTATCTCTACAATTTACCAGGTATCCAATTTTTTTCAATTCCAACGAATACTAACAATTAACCTAACCTAAGTGTGTATCTTATTAACATTATCGTGTTTTGATCGTTTTTTAATCTTCCTTTAAATCTGTGCACATAAACTCAAGCACGTAACCTCGAATAGATCGGCTGTCGAGAATCTTGAACGGAGTATCTGTGATAATTCACCTGGAAATTCCATTAAAAAGCAATTATAGAAGTACAGTAAATTCTCTACAAGTGTCAGTCAGTTTGGATTCTACAAGTGTCAGTATAGATGGTCCTACGTCTAGGCTGCGTCATTGCTACGCCTATGTTATCTCGCTCGCTTAATTTCAAGCGTGTAACGCTACACCAGTCGGTTTCCTTTACGAGATTTCACGGCTCGACAATTCATAATAGAAAAATATAATTTCTTTAATTTTACTTTTTTTCATCTGAAATTTTTTTTAACACGTTGGTGAGATTTTTCTGATGAAAACGATATCAAACACGATATAATTTGAACAACATTTACTTATTAATACTTATTGAGTAATTAATTTAATGGCGGCCTACCTCCACGTAAAAAAAAAGGGCCGATTCTACAAGTGTCAGTCAAATGTAGGGCCGATTCTACAAGTGTCAGGTTTAGGTTCCTTGCGGACTGACACTTGTGGAGAATTTACTGTAAATACAAGTGACTTTATATTTTCCTGTATCTCGAACGTATCGGTACAATTATACGAAAAACTAATTGAACAACGTTTTTGCTTTCTGTTATCAAATGCAACAATTAGAATTGCACGACGGAATTTTTGAAAAAATTTCCACACGGAAATTCAATTACGTTAAATTCGACCGTCAAACGGAATCAAGTTAAAAGAAGAGTAATGAAATGAATTTAAAAAAAAAAAAATACCTCTATTGCAGTAAATGTAAATCGAGCCTTCTGCCTGCAATAGAATCTACTCGAGCCCTTACCACCCTTTTATCCTAGTGTTTGAAAGCTGGATCGAAGCGGAAACGTAATTACGTAGACGACTTCTTCCCTTCGTTTGCAATCGCGAATTCAACTGGAATTTTCCTAAGAACAGCATAACGGTTTAGTCGTGAATAGTAATTAACGCACGGATTGTATTATGTAATTTTATAGTTTTATCGTATAGTTTTAGATGTTTGTGTTTATAAGTGAGTTAGGTTCAAGGGAGTCTTCTAGTGTGACGCCCGTTTTTTTAGGCCTTTTTTGCTAATTTATTACAGAAGTACGGTAACAGTTATTAACACGAGCTTTATTCCTATGTATTTACTTGTCCTTGAACAATCATTACAAATTTTTTTTTGTTGAAAAATAATTAAATACGGCCGCTGTGGAACACGTCAAACAGGAACATGAAAAAAAAAAGTAGGTCCATGGTTGCCATAATTTGAGCTGTTCTGTTTATCAAAAATAAAAAAATCCAATTGATTCTTATTTAGTATGCATGTCGCTATGGCCGGTAGTAGAATAAAAGAAAAATATTGAAAATTAAAAAAATGGCGGCACTTTGAATACGAAGTATCGATTTTTTCGACTTTTTTTCGTCTTTCAGAGGCTCTAAAAATCAGAAAAATTTATATTTTGACATAATTCTACTAGTGACCATAGCCACACATGTTCTGAAGACATGTGCAAAATTTGAGTTCGATTGGTTCAGTAGTTATTGCCAGATCGTGGCAACCATTTCAGAAAACATGGTTCCGAGAAAAACGCGTTTAAGTTTTGAGTGCAATTTAGATTCTCCCTATCGCCGGCCTTTGATGTGTCACATTAAACGAGCTATAACTTCGTTATTTTATTGAATACAACTATAAAACTTCAGGAGTACATTCTTAAAGAGTTGTACTTTCGATATATGCAAAAGAATAAAAATCGATTTTTTGAAACCGTCACACTAGAAGACCCCCTTAAGCAAAATGAGAATGAAAACGGAACTCGTTGTGATTTCAGAAGGAAAATGATAAACAATACTGTTAATGCACGGATTGTCCCAAATTGTGCAGAATATTTAATTGCTGTCCTATTATAAGTACAGTTCGAAGTTTCGTAGGGAAAATTTCAGTTATTTCTAGGAAATTTGCGATTAATTTTTAATATTGTAGCGCAATCATTTTTGCAAACTAGCGACACGTGTACTTTTCATGCGACGAGACAGGTACGAAGAGTCATGAAACTCTTGTCTCGCCACTGATTTGGCGGACGAGGGTGCAAACATATTTACGTACATAAGAGTAGGTTCTGTTTAGCAAAAAGTCAGTCTTTGCGTTTGCAGAATTTTTGGAAATTTTCCTGCACGAATAAGCCCATGCATGGTGTTTCTATACCAATTATCCATCTTCAGGTTAACGTCTCTTACATTGATTTAGAGCAGGGATCAGCAAACTGCGGCTCGCGGGCCAAATGCGGCCCGCCATCAGTTTTTTTATGGCCCGCGAGTTATGTACAGTTAAATGAAATATTATCCAAAGAAAGAATTCCATATTTCTCGTTAATAAATGTGTATTACAAATAAAGGATTTGCCAAAAAATTTTCATTTGTAGCTAACTACCTATTACACATACATACATACGTAATAATCTCAATTTTCTCTCTTTGCCCACAAAGCCACAAAATATTTAGCATCTGGCCCTCCAGAAAAAACCTTTGCCGACTCCTAATTTAGAGCATAAGGAGGACTTACTCCAGGCGGCTCTGCAAAAAACTTTCAAGTTGAAACAATAAAAAAAGAGGCAAAAAGTCAGTTTTTACTCGACCAGCTTTGGCAGACGAATCACAGCAATCCTGACCCAGGCACGCCGAGCAAATCCCAAGACACTACCTCTGACTACGATAAATCTGGGCCGAAGGATCCTAGGCAATCCGGAAGCCAGTGCATCGAACGTCGGGGTCTCCTGTTTACCGACAACATCCTGCATCCGACTTCGTCAAAACTTGGCAGGAGGATCTCAGCTATCCCGAACCAAGTGCATCGAGTCAAACTTCCTCGCTTTACCCTGCTCCTAAAAATCTTTGCTCGCGTGCCCATCAAGTAGCGAGATCTCGCTGTCGTGGTCGATTAAAGTACGCGTTACAATATTGATTTTAATTCCAATTTTAGGTCGATGATTGATTTGAATATTAATTTCAGTTTTAATTTTAGGTCGATGTGTCAATCTTAACGTTCATTCTCATTTCTCTTTTTTTTTTTAATTTGCTTAAGTAATTGATTAATTTTTCCTCCATTTGCAATTCTTCGTAGCAATTACGACACGCAAATTAATAATTTCGTAAAAATTAGCGCGCGACGATCAAAGTATAACGAGTGATTTGAATATAAACGAGAACTCCTTGCCTTTTTAAGGTTATACTAGATGAAGAGAAAATTTCCTCCGTTTTGCATGCAGAATCTAATGGAATGAAAATGATAATTATCTTATAAATAATTTCTTAGCCAACTTGAATTCCTTTTTCTTTTTTAATAAAATACTCTGCCTTTTTGTTCACGTTCTGTTGGATTCATTTCTACTCTAATAAATGGTACTAATAAATAACTCAATAGAAGTTAAAGAAAAGTAGAGAACAAGAATCATTATGAACAATTACGTCTTCATTCGAACAATATTCATTTTTCTTCGTTATCTACGAACGTGAACACTCGTATGATTAGAATGTCACAGAAAAGTGCGTGTGGTATCTCAGTTAACGAAAATTATCTCGTCATTGTAAAATATTATTTTTTTTTTACACTTATCTTGATGACGTTTATCGGTAATTTATCACTCTTACGTCACTTGAGATGAAGTCCCTATGTAGTTCTCTTCACTTTCACATTCCATTCTGTTTCATAGTTTTTAACTAAATTAACGCATCGCTAATAATTTTCTACGTGTCTATTTATTTATTATTTCCTTGTGATATCATTTATTATTATACATAATTCTCAAATACTACGTAAGTATTTATTATTAAAATATATGTATTTATATAGTTATGAGAAGAGGGTGATTTCTCGCGAGAAAATAAGTAAAAGCGTAGGAATTGGGGTGCGAATGATGCACATATTTACATAGAGAAAGCAAAGTTTTATCAGGATGGTCAGTAGGACCCCTGTATAACAGGATAAAAAAAAGAAAAAAGAACATACAAACTCTAAATTTGTAATTTTAAAATTTTGGCTCAATTAAATTTGACCCAAAAAGCGATGTTGGCGGAACTTAATTTGTATTTCCCGCGTTATAAGGGATCCTGTATAGGGAAAAATATTGCAGAGAGCGTTGTATGAATGGTTATAATTGCATAAAAGTTGTCTTAGCACTGTGAGTTGCTTCGAACTATTATTATATTCATTTATCATATTTAAGACACTGGCCGGCCATCGACCTAAAATGAGAGATAGGAGGTTTCTTCAATGGAAGAAACATTTCCCTAATTTCCATTCGTTAGCCTAAAACCGGCTTGGGCGACTGGCGGCTCGCGAGCCGCAGACGACTCCTCTCCCTACTCCTGGGTCCCCCCCACCAAACTCCTGTGGAGTATAGGAGGAGGTTGGGGAGATTAGGAGTGTATATGTAGGAGGCTGTATCCTCGTCTCACGCATATATACATGCATATATTCGCAGTCACGCGAGGCAAAGCACGGTAAAGGCAATATGAAATAGTTGATAGTGGGGGGAACCGGAACACTGGTAGTGGAAGTCTAGAAGTGACAGCGGGGAAGAAGTTGCCCGAGCCTGGCCTAAAGAATGCAATTATGATACACCACGAGAAAAAGACTAATGCAAAGCATTACATTTATAAACTATCTGACAAAGATTCTACACTA